CCGATCCTAGCTTGTTCACTGATTTTGGAAGACTCCTGGGCGTGTACAACAAGCTCAAAGGTATCGCAGCTGCCACGAATACCGAGGAGGTTCAGAATGACCTCATGGGCCAGGCCAGAGGTCTAATTGACGACATCACTAATGACCATGTTTCTGCCGTCAAGACCTTCATCAAGAACCCAGAACTGCAGGCATCACTGGACCAAGAGATCCGGGATGAGTGCCAAGAACTGGTTGAATACATCATGGCCGCAAGGAGATTTAACCTCGAAGTGAACGCGAGATCGAAAGACAGATGCATCAGCTTCGGCGAGAAGCTCAGCTGTAGATTTATGGCCGCGTTACTGAAAGATCTGGTGAGGAAACTGCCCATTTCTGCGTCATGAGAGTGAGGCTAATTCTCTCACAGGGTGTCGCTGCAGAATATGTGGACCTCAGCGATGCGTTCCACTATGATGCCTCCTCTCGCCTGGATCAGAGCTTCTACCAAGAGGCGGCCACCGTACTGCGGAAAAAGATTTCGGCATGTGAAGACAGAGTGCCGGTCGTTACCGGGTTCTTTGGCAATGTCCCGGGCAGCCTGATTGACGGCGACATTGGCCGTGGCTACACTGACCTCTGCGCAGCCCTTTGCGCAGTCGGCCTCAAGGCGGATGAGCTGCAGGTGTGGAAGGAAGTTGACGGAATCTTCACTGCGGACCCCACCAAAGTTCCCACGGCGAGGTTGCTGCATTCCATCACCCCGTCCGAGGCGGCGGAGTTGACATTCTACGGCTCCGAAGTCATCCACCACCTCACCATGGACCAGGTCATCCACGCGTCGCCCCCTATTCCCATCCGCATCAAGAATGTCAAGAACCCGAGAGGAGTTGGAACCATTGTCATTCCCGACCCCATTCTCACGGCTGGCCACCAGATCCAGCGTTCCAAGCCCTCAGATCCTTCTCTCATTAAGAAGCCCAAGAGGCCAACAGCCGTCACCATCAAGGACAAGATCTCCGTCATCAACGTCCACTCAAACAAGCGCTCCATCTCCCATGGCTTCTTCGCGAGAGTTTTCTCCATCCTGGACAAGAACCAGATCTCGGTTGATCTCATCTCCACCAGTGAGGTGCATGTTTCCATGGCTATCCACGCCGGAAACTCAGAGGGCGGCAGCTTCGACAGGGCACGGAAGGAGCTGGAAGACTGCGGCGATGTCAGCGTTCTTCACGACATGGCTATCCTGAGTCTGGTCGGTGCGGAAATGAAGAACATGATCGGTATCGCCGGACGCATGTTCTCTACACTAGGAGAGCACAATGTCAACTTGGAGATGATTTCACAAGGTAAGCTTATCCCGAGACAGGTCTCACGATATTGTTATTGACTTTGAATCTAGGTGCCAGTGAGATCAACATCTCTTGCGTCATTGAGGCCCGGGACGCCACCCGCGCCATGAACATTCTGCACACAAATCTGTTTACTTTCCTCGATTAGACTAGTCGTGTCTTTGCATAGTCATGGAGCGAGACATGTCCTTTTGGATCAAGGTATATAGACACACTTCATTCTTGTATGGGGATATTTTGATTGGAGCACAAGTTTGCATGTTGGATTCAGGGAAAACAGACAGGAATGTAGAGCATGGTTTGGAAAATGCAAGATAACCTTGATTGACACCGATACGTCCAACTCCGATTTTTGTGTAACGGTCCCGAAGTTGGGGTTATTTCTCCATCATTCACGGATTAGCATACATCAGGAAGTGACCAATCATCCAGTATTTCTATATGGAGATGTCAGGAGATGATTATCCAGTATTATGTTATCCATGATTCGAGATCTTGCATCGCCAGCCAACACCCCAGTAACCGCACTTAGGTGAAGGTAAATATTCACCAGTCGAGGCCGAGGTAGGAGTAGTGGGGTACAGTGTTGGGCAGACTCGTCGCACACCGTACAGCCCCGCCACCAGACCCCTGCATTTCCGATAAGATAAGCAGCTAGAAGGATCCACCTTTAACACCAACCGTCCTGGATCGTCACGTCTTTCCTTGCGATCACTTCCCAACCTCAACTACACCATCAAGCAAAACGTCGACCCCTAAATCCTCAACAAGGGCATCCACCGCCGAATTTTCGACCGAACCATTTGATATACTCTGCGACATATTTAAATAAACACTCCTCACGAACCCCCCCAAAAATCGCCAAGATGCCGAAAGCAGAGGTCGGGTCGGTCAAGTACCTGAACAACAAGATGAAGATGAAGGGCCTGCAACGCCTGCGATGGTACTGTCAACCTTGTGAACGTCAAATGAGGGATGAGAATGCGTTTAAACAACATTGTCTATCCGAGTCCCACGTCCGGCAGCTCATCCTCGTGGGCGAAGACCCCAAGAAGTTCCTCAACGAATACAGCAATCAGTTCCTCCGCGACTTCCTCCAGCTCCTTCGCACCGGCCACGGCGAGAAGCAGGTCCAGATAAACCACTTTTATCAAGAGTACATTGCCAATAAGGAGCACGTCCACATGAACGCGACGAAATGGCCCAGCTTGACCGAGTTTGCGAAACACCTGGGAAGGGAGGGTATCTGCCGTGTCGAGGAGACGGATAAAGGCATTCACATCTCCTGGATCGACAACTCACCCGAGGCGCTGAAGAGACAGGAAGCACTCCGAAGGAAGGAGGCGCAGGATCGAGGAAACGAAGAGGTCGAGCAGATGATGATCCGGGAGCAAATAAAGCGTGCGCAGAAGCAGGCTGAGGCGAGGGGGGAGAAGGAGGAGAAAGACGACGAAAAAGAGAAGGGACTGCAGCGCGCTGAGGGGGAGAAGATATCGCTGTCGTTTGGGGCGAAACACAAGGCTGAGCCCTCCAAAACCGAATCCCCTGACGCGTCTGGGTCCACGACGCCTCCGGTAGCGGCAGAAAAGCCGGCGGAGAAACCTGCGGACAAGCCTTCATTAGGCGGCATTTCACTGAAGATGACGGCCAAGCCGGAGAAGAAGAACGTCTTCGCGCAAGCCAAGAAGAATGCGCTGGCTGGTGGCGCGAAGAAATCGGCTTTCGAGCAGCCCAAGAAGATGAGCGAGGCCGAGAGAATCATGAAAGAGGACATGGAAAGGATGGAAAAGAAGAGGCCGAGGGAGGGTTCCGGGTTTGGAGGGTTCTCGTTTAAGAAGCAGAAGACGGACCAACGGTGAGACGTCATGAATTCACCGCGTTTGTTTTAGGGGCGGACCGGCGTTTTGGGTTGAGGACTGCGGCATCATATCATACAACGGACAGGATATATTACAGTGCGATTTCAGATACCATTGCGAATTGATTCATCTAATGTGAGTCTTGCCTTGACTCCATGCCGACCTTCTTAAATTCCCCCTAAACGCCGAATATACCAAGTATAATGATTCCTTTTCTTTCTTTTCCCGACCCGATTACTACGTCCTTTAGTTATCAACCTCGGTCTCCGTTCCATCGCGTCTGAAAAAATCAGTCAGTATATAGTTCCACCAAATGCCCTCCGGGAATAGAGAGCAGCAGCCTCGTGCACATACGGGATGTAGCGTATCCTATACTCCTCCTCGAGCGTCGTCCGAATCTCGTCGGGGAGCTGGCCAGACACCTTGATGGCGTAGACGCCGCGGACGTAGTTGTCGAGGCGCTGCCACTTGGCGACCCAGGAGCGTCCGGGGTCCTTGAGGGAGATGAGGCCCTCAAAGACCTGGGACGTGCAGCTCTCGATCTGGTCCTGCGAGCCGGCGAGGTGGAGGAACTCTTCGCAGTTGGGGCAGCCCTCGTCGCGGAATTTCTGGGAGAGGGAACGTGACGTTAGCTGGGATGCTTTTTTTCTCATTGCGACGGAAGTCGCCATTGTCGTTTTCTCTTTTTTCGAGGTGGCTAACGTACGGAGTAGGTCAGGACGATGGAGCAGACCATGCAGGCGCGCAGGTAGCGCTGCTGGTTGGGGTTGACGTAATTATCACTCGACATCTTGGCGAATCGGCGGGTTGAGAACGGAGAGACTAGCGGGTAGGAGAGCAGATCGCGTTCGTCGTGAAGGTGTCGTCGCGCTCGAAGCTGGCTTTCTCGATAGGAAGTTGGAGGCGGTAGGCGGCTTCACTTGGGGATCCAACCACCTACCTAGTTGCATATGCATCTAAAGGGGGCGTCATGTCTTTCGACGGCGGACCCACCTCAGGGACCCTGCAGGCCTACCCACGCCGCGAATCAAAGTACATCACTCATCCTGGGGTGAAATTCTCCAAGTCGACTTACAGCACCTCATCCCATCGACACTTGCGCTTGCAAGCTTACAGCAACACTTCTTGAATCTAAAGCATATCTCATTTGGCCTTTCAACATGGCGACGCAAAGCTCAGAAATCCCAACGAGCACGCCGCGTGCGACCAGCCAAAGGTCTCACGAGCTTCTCACTTGCACCATTAAGACCCCACCATTCTCTTATGCTCAGTTGGAGCTTGTCTCCGACGCATCACGGGTTTCCGATATCACTCCCCTGGACAACTTGCAAGTGAGGTCTTATTGCAACTCCGCCCTGCGTCAGTTCCTGGGCGCCACCGGTTCCGCCATCCCCATCGATATCCTCAAAGTCGAAGACAGAGAATGCTGGCTGCGAGTACCCCGTCAAGACCTGAGCCCTTTCGCAGCGGCCATTACCGCCTGGGCGGGTGTCTCTGAACAGGGCTACCGGCGGACGCTCCGAGTGAAGCAGTGTTCCGACTATCTAGGAGCTATGGTTGGTGCAAACGGCCAGGACAAGCTCTGGACGTCTTGAACATGATGGAGGGGGTTAAGCCACACGCCCAAGCGTCAAATTATTCTAGACTTCGGGTATGGTTATCGATTGCAGACAAAAACTCCGTTTATCCGCATGGCCAAATCCCACGCTTCCAGCCTGCCCCCTATATGCGCCGATCACATGCACCGTTTATGCAGCGGATGCAGATATACCACATTGTATCCCCGGAACGACCGTCCGTTTTACGTCAATTACATCAGAGACGACATGAGAGAGCTCTGGGCGTATGCCTGGAAGACAGTCAGCGGCGAACCAAGCAGGGGTGTTGCGCAATGCTTACCATGGGCTTGATATCCGGGTGAGGTACGGCATCAAACTGGTTGAACTGTAACTTGTAGTCGGGGCCAATGTTGATATAGGCTCCCCGGTTCTCGGTGGAATCGCAGTATTTGGGGGCGGAGAAGACTGTAACGATTAGCCTCGAATGCACTTCATTAGATACCAAAAGAACTCACCAGTAATGCAACGTCCGTCGTGCTGCACCTCGTATCCGTCCATGCGGACTTCGTGACTGCGAATGACCGCCTCGAGACCGTTGTTCTCGCAGAACTGCTTCGTAACGTCGGGTCCGAATTGCATGCCAACGCCACGCTTGCTCGGGCCACGGCCAGGCTCGTCCTGAGGATCCGTCCACAGCATCTCCATCATGAGACCGGACTGGCCAGGCTGGCGCTGGGCGTGCCTGTCGAGCTTGCGGATATCGTCCAAAGTTACCTTGTCGTCCGAGAACAAACCACCGTGCAGGACAAGGTACTTGGTTCCGATCAGGGTGGCGAGGGGCAGGGCTGAGAAACTCTCGGAGAACAGCTTGAAGATTCTGCGATTGTCAATGAGTGCGACTCATAAGAAGTAACGAAAAGCACATACCTCTCGTTGTATTTAGCCTTGCACTCTCCCTCAAAGCCGTACACTCGGTTCATGTCGTCTGTCTCGTGGTTGCCACGGTTCAGGAAGAAACCCTTGGGTCTCAGCCACTTGTAAGCGTAAAGCAGGAGAGCAATCTCGGTTGACCAAGATCCACGGTCGACGAAGTCACCGTTAAATAGGTAGTAGTGCTTGTCGTTCGGTGTTCCGTTCAAGCGGAACAGTTCCATCAAATCGAAGTACTGGCCTACACATGGGTTAGCCCGAAGCGCATCAGCACTGTGGTAAGATAATTTACCGTGAGTGTCACCGCAGACGGTAAGCTGAACACCCTCAGGAACCTCCATCTCCACCATGGTGGGCTCATCATAGACGAGCTTCTTGACGGCCAGAATGATCTGGTAAACGTATTTCCTGTGGATCTTCTTGCCAGTCTTGAACCTCTCCGTCATGTCGTCAATGAACTCCTGCGTCATCTCGCTTCCCAATCTGACACCATCATAGTCTGCCTCGACGTTGATAGAATCAACGTCAAGACCCTCCGCAGCCGACGGCTCGTCGCCCACTTCAATGGCAGCATAGAAATCCAACTTGCGCACAATCTTTTTGCACTCATCCAACTTGAGCTTGGCATCCTTGTTATTCGGGTCGAGCTTTATGCATTCCTTGAAGTCTACGAGGGCGTCCTTGGGCCTGAGAATGGCTGTGTGTGCGAGACCTCGACGGAAGTATGCCTAAAGCGACGGGACGTCAGCATCGGGCTGTTCATACCGGGTGCCTGCTGGCAAGAGGCACGAACCTTGACAAACTTGGGGTTCAACTCGATCGCTTTCGTACAATCCGCAATGGCATATCCGTAAGCTTCGGACTTGAGGTTTGCCTGCACCGGGACGAGAAATGGTCAGTCACACGAGCAACTTCAAGATGCAGGGCCTGTCGCAAAGGGAGGGGGCGGGGCAAACCTGGGCGCGGTTCGTGAAGAATGTGGGCTCCTTGTCGTTCAACTCGATGGCTTTGGTGTAAAACTCAATGGCAGTGGGCCAATCGTGGGCAGAAAACGCCTTGTTGCCCTGGTTCTTGAAGGCCACGGCCTGCTCCTCCGGAATCGACATGGCGGCAATAACAGCGCAGACTTGGTGCAAATGGTAAAGCAAGTGTGGGGTAGTTTATCGTGGCGAAGAGGCCTCGAGACTCTCTGAACCTGTCGCCCGCGGACTGTTGGGTGTAGAGTGCGGTTTTCGAGTGCGACACCGAGTTCGACACACACAACGAGAATGGGAGAGAGGGAAAAGGGTCGTATATCGGCGAAGTTTTCGGCCTGCGGAAGCTCTTAGAAGGTTGAAGTTCCGGGGGACCAAGTCAAAAAGCTTCCTTTCGCGACGGTTCGGCCCTTAAACCCTCTTCGGAGCTAAGGTAACAGAAACAGTGCGCTACAACGCTGTGTTACTGCACCAAGCGATACGCTGAGCGCAACTGCGGGGCAGCTTTCAGTTGCCACTTCAGGATCTCGACAGGGGTTCAGGAGGGCCAGCTCCGGGCCTAGCCCCTCCATTACCCTCAGCTTCCCAGTTGGCAGTTGCCACTGAAAAGCACGGGCATGGATTTGGACGGCTTTAGCGGGTGACGCCTCGGTAGCTGCATACGTACCTTCGAAACCTTCCAGGGTCCCTAATCAGGCTTATCTTTTATCGGCTCCACGTCATTTCAGGCCTGAATGCGAGCGCGCCAGTGTTATCCTGCGAACTTCGCTGACTTGCGACACGACAGCCTCTGCATGGCACTTTTTCACCACCCACGGTCTGTCGAGACACCCGAAGTCGGCGCGCTCGCCTAGCAACAACCGGACGTCACGATGGAGCCTCCAAGCCAACAGTCCAACGCGCTGGTGCGAAAGCGCACTGACACCGACCTCATGCCACCACCGCCGCCCGCGAAGAAGATCAAGAGGCCCAAGAAGGTCATAGACGAAGATACATATACCGATGCCCTCTCGAAAATTATCGCGCGGGACTTCTTTCCTGGGCTTTTGGAATCGGAAACTCAGCAGGAATACCTCGACGCCCTCGAATCGAAGGACGCAGTATGGATCTCGAGCGCTGGACAAAGGCTACAGCGCGTGATGACCCCAGGAAGGCAGAGGGTGAAGAGACCGCCCATGTTCGAGAATGGAGGGCGCACACCGTCAGCGTACGGCGCGGATACACCAGCATCGGTCGCGCCAACAGTCGTTGAGGAGCAGAAGCCCGTTGTGGATACCAACTTGAGCCTAGCCAACTTCCAGGCCAAGTACACCAGTGAGGATAACGAGAGCTTCTACAAGCTCATGGACAAGCAAAGTCAGAAGAAAGCGGAGAAGTATGCATGGCTCTGGCATGGGAACAAGCTGCCATCGAAACAGATGATCAAGCAAGCCGAAGTGGAGGAGAAGCTGGCTCAGAACGGCCGCTTGATCGACGACGGGTTTATCAAAAGAGACAGGCTGGCAATCAAGGATGCCGATGATAGGCCAGCCAGGCCGGATAGCTGGAACGCTAACCCGAAGAACAACCTCATGTTTGGGCCGGACGGTGTTGAGGACAAATACGAGAGCCCTGCTCAAAGGGCCGAGGCGACTTCGATGATGGCTCCAAAATCGATCAACTACCAGAACACAAGGATCCCCCAGCCCGCGATTGTCGAAAGGCCACCGTCTCCAACAATGTCTGCGGTGAGAGACGCCATCGCGGGTAGGCCGCGAAAGGACGATCAAGCTTCGAGCGCGGTGGGAGGTGGAGAAACGCCAAGAGTGAATGGCTACGCCTTCGTTGATGACGCCGATGATGAAGAAGAGGTTCTTCCAGCACCAATCATTAACTTAGGCCCTGGTGATGCGACTCCCAACCCTTTTAAATTACAGGAGCAAGGCAAGAGAGAAAGTCTGCATCATCGGCTGGTTGAGAGGGCAGCGCAATCCAAGAGAGAGTCGGTAAAGAATGGATTGACCGGAAAGCTAGAGAGGACCCCAGTGCCAAAGTTTCCATCTAGCCCGAGGGTCTCTGGAGGACTGACGCCTGCCGCTCAAAGACTATGGAGTAAGATCGGAAGTCCCAGACGGGGAGGCCCCAGCGGCTCGACTCCGAAAGCGACGCCGCTAAGGGCACGAGGCTCGCTATTGAAAGGTGGCTCCAAGGTCCCTCAGTGAAATTCGGTAGAATGAAACTTAATGAATAACGACCAAATGGAATAGGGATAGAGCAAGGATAGATACCACATCAGAAGAGAGCGCTGTACAGCATGAGGCGGCTTAGCAATAATCATTCTTTGCAACGCATCAAACATGGTTAGGTTTAGTAGATTATTAGTTCAACAACCCCCAAACGAATCTCAAGATAACAATAGCAATCTGCAAGACTCGGGCCTGATAATCCACGTTCGGATCAAGGACTTACACGACTGGCAGTACCGTGTGGCGCCCCATTAGTCCGATATATCGGATATGCGCATTTATGGTTCCAAGCCACGCTTGTTGCATGTAGCCATCACTCAAGTTTTCTCGATTTATGACGATAACGACTTAGTCCCGGAGCTTCCAGGGAGACGTGCAGTCATTTTCCGGTCGAAAATCGTGCAATGACATGCGCGTGAGACAGTTGAGAGTTGCCGCTCAGATGAGATTCGCCGATTTTGCTGTCGATCTGGCAGCGGTGCTGAGTGCATCGCGCTCAGTCGCATCCAAGCATGTCGCCCTAAGAGGTCGGCAGCTTGAGAGCTTCAGCAAAGCTTCCAGCTTAACACGCCGAGCTCCAGTAGCACCGGAAAACACACGAGCAGACACTGCCGATGAGAGCACATCACCAACGGCTTCACAAGAAGCACAGCCATCAACAACAGAGGCACCACCAGTGCAGCCGGAACCGACACCAAAAGTCACTCATGTCCCTCACGCATCTCCAAACCATTTTCAGTCCAAGCCCAGCCACGGATCCGTCACCAAGCCAGATTCCGGTTCGGTTCTTTCTCAACTAAGGCAATCAAACCCTTCCGGCTTCCCGTGGTCTGATGCGTCGCCGTCGGCGGCAAAGCCCAAAGATGACAGCTACACGAGCAAGGGCATGACACCAGCATATGGCGCTCCCGTCTCTGAAGAGCTTGATGACGTTCCACCAGATGTCAACATCAACATTTTCCACGGCAACCGTGCTGCTAGTATGATAGGAAAGAAGGATGAAAAGCAGGTGGATCAACTGTTTGGCGCTCGAAAGAAGCTCAAGCCGGTTGGTCTTCCTGAGTTTGTTGTTCACTCCAAGCCAGCGGCGAAGGCGCCGGAGAAGAGTCCACCAGCCGTCAAAGCCGCCCCAGAGCCCACGCCGGCTGCACCTCAGGACGGTAAACCGAGTACAGAAACACCCGCAACGGCGGCTCCTGTTAGCTCGGAAAGCGAGCCAGTCCATAAAGCCTCTTCAATCGAAACGCAAAAAGAAGAGCCGCCAGTCGAGGACGTGCTTGGTGCAGCGGTCGACCAGTCCTCATCCCCAGCCCCAACACCAGCATATGTTCTTAGAGAATCCAAAGTTCCCGCCACCCGGATTAGCAGACTTTGGAACTATGGCGGTCTGGCTGCTGGCATGATGGGAGGCGCCATCACGGAGAGCATCGGCAGGGCCTTTGGCGGCAAGAGCGAGGGCTCGGTATTGCTTAGCGCCGGCAATATGGAGAGACTGGTGTCTAAGCTGTCCAGAATGAGAGGCGCTGCGCTTAAAATGGGTCAGATGATGAGCTTCCAGGACTCCAAGATGCTTCCGGGACCAATCCAGGAGGTGCTACAAAGAGTGCAAGACCGCGCTGACTATATGCCTTCATACCAGAGAGATAAGGTCCTTGTAGCGAACTTGGGTGCTGAATGGCGGGAACTATTTGAAGAGTTTGAGGAGAAGCCAATCGCTGCCGCGTCCATCGGCCAGGTCCATCGCGCTACGCTGAAGAATGGTAGAAAAGTGGCTGTGAAGATCCAATTCCCCGGCGTTGCTGACTCCATCAACTCGGACCTCGACAATCTCGGCATTCTGCTGAATGCCACCAAGCTTTTGCCCAAGGGCTTATATCTCAACAAGACCATCGACAACGCACGACTCGAGCTTGGCTGGGAGTGCGACTATGAGAGAGAAGCCCAGTGTCTCATCAAGTACAAGGAGTTGCTCGCCGGGGAAGAGGGCACTTTCCTCGTGCCCGATGTTCACCTGAAAGCTTCTGGAAAGAATGTCCTGACGATGGACTGGATGGACGGCGTTGGAGTTACGAGGGTCACGTCGTTTACCCAGGACCAGCGTGATTGGATCGGCACTCAGATCCTCCGCCTCTGCTTAAGGGAAATCACCGAGTTCAAGTTCATGCAAACCGACCCGAACTGGACAAACTTCCTCTACAACGCTAAGACGAACAAGCTCGAGCTGCTCGATTTTGGCGCGTCGAGGGAGTATCCAGATGAGTTCGTCGTGCAGTATGTTCAGCTTCTTGCGGCGGCCTCAAGATCTGACCACCAGGGCGTCAAGGAGCTCTCAGAGAGTCTTGGATATCTGACTGGCCATGAAAGCAAGACAATGGTGGATGCTCACGTCAAGTCGGTGCTGACGCTCGCCGAGCCGTTTCTCGCCTCGGCGCCTGAGGTCTACGACTTTAAGGACCAAACCATCACCGAGCGCGTTAAGGCCCTCATCCCCGTCATGCTGCGCGAGCGACTGGCGCCACCGCCCGAGGAGACATATAGCTTGCACCGCAAGTTGAGCGGTGCCTTCCTGCTTTGTGCCAGACTCGGTAGCAAGGTTAGATGCCGAGAAATGTTTGAGGAGAGCTTGAAGAAGAACGGTTACACCGTCTGAGGTTGAGACGGTTGGTTCGCTTGTATCATTTGTATCATCACTGTAACAACATGTTAGAGAGACTACATGATGCGGTCAAAAGAAGACAGAAAAAGGCCGCAAAGCAGAAAGCACACACAGGCCATGTAATTCTCGATAGACCACGCTAATGCACCGTCCCTCCCTATCGAGGTCGCCTCTCCAACTTGTCCAGCTCCTTTCTCTCCTTTGCGACGACCTTCTTGCGCTTCCTCTCGATTGACTTGTCAACCTGCCTC